AAAAAAAAATCTTTGTTCTATCAACTTCATAGCTGCGTAGTCTTATTTTTTTCATATTTCCGAGTAATTCAATTTTATTGGAAATGTTGTTCTCTGTTTGCATAGCTTTAAAAATCTTTTATACATAGTGATACAGGTAGAGTCATAAGTTTACAATTGTGAAATTTCTCAACAATGATGTAGGTAAGCGTGTTGTTTGCCCCAGTTAGCCTCACTCTTTTCATTGAGGTGAAAGAGTATGGTAGTTTTCAGGCACGAAGAAAAAAACACTGTGCTCTTTGTTCAGTGAGGGGAATTAATGTGTGTTTACATAGGGCTTGGTGGGATCCTCATGTCTTTTGGCATTTTTACTTCCAACTTTTCCCCAGCCAAGTTCTGAGATGGAAATATTTTTCATGAGAATCTGTACTTGACCCTGCTTGGCCCCAGGAATTTCAAGGTCTCTATCTTTGGATGAACTTTGGTGAGAGAAGGGATTCCAAGGTGGGTATTTTCAGTATCTGTGTATGCATGTGCACACACCCCTACCTCAGCACTCATCCATGGAAAATGGGGAAATCAAACCTGTACATCCCTTTGACCTCTGCCTCCTTGTCACCCCATGGGTATGATGGTTGATGCTCTCACTAGAGCCATCGCCAAAGGGTGAGCGGAAGTTTGTAAACATGGGCACCCACAATCTTCATCAGAATAGACACGGGATTTACACCCATTAGTATGGTATCCTGATGAGATAGGGACTACGGAGGTGTAAGGGCCTTAAGATCCCATTTCTGAGGCTCTGAGAGAGGAGAAAAGGAATGCTGCCTGATCAGGAGCCAGAGATAAGGGCAGAAATTAACTGCCTAGTTGGGGGACATTCCAAGCGATCTGGGAGTACAGCAAAGCAGACTCCCACCTTAAAGCCTAAGGGGCCTCATGCAAAAAGCCATGGAGCAGCTTGACATGAAAGTCACCCACGGCTGCAGAGGAAGATTGCAAAATGTCAGCCCAGGAGAAGGGACATCAGGCTCCAATTCTTAGAACACCAGGCTAAGTTCCTTCCCTCCCTTTTTCAGTAGAATGCCTCAGTTAATGGGAAGCTAACCTCCCAGTATGAAATACATAATCTCTTTGTTCCTCAATCGAATGGGCCACAGCTGCTGAATTCAGAGATACTATTTATATATACCTTAAGGAGTAGTTGTGCTTAGTAATGAGTTATGTGTTCCAGCTTCTATTAGCTAAGATATCTTGTGACTTTCTGGGGAGTCTTGAAACTTCTACACATTGTAACCCATGACCTTTTCACATGAAATCATTGTAATCTATAGCATGCAAAAGAGTAAAAACAGGTACTGGACTTCAGTCGGTACCACCTTGACACCTGAGTGCTGGTGGTCCCCTGACTTCCCCACACCCTTACACCTTATTTCTTGTGTCCATGTCTTTGTCTCTCTCATCCCTTTCAGCGCACACTACCTGGGACCCAGTTATATTGGGGGCATTGAGAACTCCCAATAGTATCCCAATGACTTTCCATTTTGCCAAAGGATGATTCTTGACAGTCTCTTCATCGTGACTTTTAATCTCTCCACATTGTCCAATGCCAAGTTTGTGTTTATTTGCAGCACACACAGTTTCTGCTCCCCTCTGTCATGCCTCTTTAAAGCTATGTACTCTCCCAGTTCAGGTGACTCATGTCTTCCTGGGATAGGAGGTGGAGCATTGTTTTTCTCCTCATTGTACCTTAGACACTGAGACTCTACATGTACATTCCTAGACCCTGTATTAGTCAGAAGTTCTCCAGAGAAACTATGTATTTATCTAAAATGAGAGAGAGAGAAAGAAGTTGAGATATTTTAAGGAATTGTCTCATACAAATGTGGAGGCTATAAAGTAAAAAACCTGAGGATAGACTCAGGGAAGACTTGATATTTCAGCTCCAGTTTGAAGGCAGTCTAGAAACAGAATTCCCTCTTTTGGGGGGACCACTCTCTTTTTCTCTCAAGAACTTCAACTGATTGGATAAAGCTTACACATTTCTTCAGTGGATAATTTGCTTTACTCAAAGCCTACTGACTTAGGTGCTAATCTCATCTAAAAATATTTTCACAGCAGCATTTAGACTAATGTTTGAAATATCTGGGAAGTCCACGGCCCAGCCAAATTGACACATGAAATTAACCAACACAAGTTCACTCATTGTCAACTTGGCACCCATGAACATTTTTTAAAATCAAACTTAATTTCCAAATAAAGATGATAACAAGCTCATACTTCCATATAACATGACACAACTATACTGTTCACAACAAACACGCACTAATGCTTACCCAGATAGAATGTAATGTTTTTAGGTAATGTTCACTCTTCTCGATATCCTATAACTTAAATACTATGTTTTAAATAATACTTTGTGATGTAAAGTCAATACATTTTATATGCTAATGGGATAAAAGAGGAAAATGTAAATATATATATATAGAGAGACATATACACATATTCATAGGAAAATAAAAAATACTCATGACAATTATGGCCCTCATTTCTGTAATTGGTTATGTAGTCATAGCTAGTATTTAAAAACTACTCATTCTTCCACTATTTTGTATTTCCTTCCCCTCAGCAAGCACCTCAGGAAGTTATTTTCATTCCTGAAGGACCTTGACCATTAGTAGTCCTGCCTGAATTGGCTTTATATAAGTTTCTTCAGCCTGCCATAACAAAATACCATACACTGGGTGACTTAAACAACAGATATCTATTTTCATACAGTTTTGGAGACTGGAAATCCAAGACAAAAGTGCCAGCAGGTTTGTGTCTGGTGAGGGTTCTCCCCTTAGGGTGCAGACAGTAGCCTTCTAGCCATGTCCTCATGTGACCTCTTCTTTGTGAGAGTGCAGAGAGACAGGGGGAGAGTAAGCTTTTTGGTATCTCTCCTGAAAAGGACACCAATCCTTTTGGATCAGGGCCCCACCCTTATGAGCTCATATAACTTTAATTATTTTCTTGAGGCTCTATCTTCAAATATAATCACACTGGACTTTAACATATGAATTTGGGAGGGTGAGAGAGAGGAGGCTGGGTGCTCACATGCTCCAGAGACAAGTTCTCTTGCCACAGCTACAGACTGTTGCAGGACTACAGTCTGTTTAGACCACAGGGCCCATGCCTGCTGGCTTCCCCAGAGCTCTCCCCCAATGGAGAGGGGCATTCCCTTCCTGGTGGCAGGCCCTGCCATTGACCCTCCTGAGTATTCTGCTGGCAGCTTGAGAGCAGTCTGTTCCTCTCTAGCAGAGCCAGCACTTGAATTCACGGGAACTGAGGACAGTTCCACTGGCCTGGTCCCATTCCCCCAGGACTCAACCACACCATTCTGTGGTATGGGCATGAGATTTATTATCTGATTTAGAGGAAGAAGTAGTCCCCATCATAAGAACAGAGAGTATAGCATGGGTTGGTGCTGCAACACAGGACCCGGGTGCCCCTCCCTTAGCACAACTGGCCTGGGAAGGTTGGAGACTGAGAGCTGCAGTTTCTGCCCCAGGCCAAGAATCTCAGGGTGGCCTGTGGCAGCAGCTTCTTGACCTGAATGAAGAGTGTGTGGGACTGTCCTACCTGTTTTGCACTGCTGCCAGAAGGAGACCCATCAGGTTGAGGAGTGGGAGTTCAGCAC